GAATCATAAATTTATTTTACAAGTATTCTAATTTCCGCTTAACACTTAACTATATAAATAGTATTTAAATTTAAAATACATTTACTTCTTTTAAGAAAAGAAAAATTAAAAATATTTGTTTAAATTTAATCCGCCATTTGTAAAAAAGGTAAAAAACGGCTCCACTTTTCGGATCGAAGTTAGATATCAAGTTTATATAATATATAATTGAGTAAGATTAGTTTAAAATTTTACGCACTTATAATTGTATATGATGCTGTTTATATAATCAAAATATTTACAGTATATTAACTGTTTCATTCCCAAAAAAAAGTATTTAGTCAACCTTTATTAATATTTTAAAGGTTGTGGCTTATTTCAATCTGATTAAAATTTTTTTTTTTCTGATCAGGTTGTATTTAATCAATACTATTGAGTCGATTGTATTGAAAAAACGTCGCAAAATTTTACGTGGAGAGTAAAAATGTCATGACAGTAAAAATATAATACAATGTTTATAAAAGTGAATAAAGTTTTTACTGGGGAGTAAAAATTTATTTTTAGTAAAAACCACAGTAGCAAAATCTCATACTTCATCATAATTTATATAGGTAGAAAAAATTTTAATATAATATTATTATTTGGCTTGACTAAAGCGCGTTTTTCATTTCCAATTACGTTGCAAAAAATTTTACTTTTTAAAGACAAGAATAGTTTTCATAAACTTTTTTAATATTGAATTCAAGCCGATATCAAAATAACTTAATTTAATTAATTCTTAATGAATAGAGTAAAAGTACCGCTAACCGGACACTCTTCACAAAAAGCTAAATAACTTTTTTAATATTAAAAATTTGTAGAATTTTTTTTCTGGAATATAGTTGTTTATTAGAACAATTCTGCAATGTAAAAAAAAAAAGAAAAAAAATTTAATTTCAAGTTTCTATAGAAAATAAGATTTTACTTTTATAGAAAGTGTTCGCTTTTTGGAAAATTGTCCCTTAAAGCGGACAGTTCCAAATTATATAAAAAAAACATGTAGATTGATTATATTAAATTGATAAGTTCAAAATTTTTTTTAATGTTAAAATATACACATAGTAATAATACAAACAGAAAAAACTAGAAAAAAACACAAAAAAAAAAAAAACATGAGTAAGCTTTAGCATGAAATAAAAAATTTATAAACTAGGTTCTGCAACTTTTCGGGCAAAAGAATTTCTCCCCTTTTATATATCTTTTTGGGAGACAAGATTCACAAAGCCACTAGCTGCAACTTGATTTTTCACAAGTTTTCCATAAAACTTGCATCTCTAGCTTTTCATTTTCAAAAAACTTTGGAAATTTTTGTACTTTTTTTTGGCTTTCTTGGTAGGAGTTTCTACATCTGAAATTTCAATATATGTTCGTTTTAATAGCTTTGCGTCTTCTTCTTTTCTTAAGTGGTGTAATAAACCTTTTTTTTCAAAATGATTTTTTTGCTCAAAGCATAAAAATGAATTTTCCAATTTTTAACATTCGTTTTAAAAATGAAACTAATTTATTCATAATTTTTTTTTGATTTTTTTTGATTTTATTCGCATTTACTCGATAAACGTCAACTCCTACAAAATTATTATGTTATTAAATGGTCAAAACTTTTTCAATAAATCATATAAAACAAAATTTTGATGCCAAATTTACTATTTGTTCCTTTTTAATATTTAAATTCGATGGTTAAACCCCAACACTAGAGTTTGCAATCCCGGAGGTTTTTCTCAATCCTGGGATTGAGAAACATCAATCCCGGAATTGATCCCGGGAAAAACAGATACAGCATCTATATAGTATTAAGTAGAATAAAAACTGTACACTCTTAAACAAAAATATATTTTATAAATGATGCTGTTTGCATTACATCCTTACATGCACACAAGAAAAACATGTTAATTAATGTTGAGAAATTTCATTAAAAATAGGGAAATATATCATGTTTCATGTGCTTTGAAATGTGACTTCAGGAAGCGCAACGCGTCCAATGTTTCATCGCCCAACCTGTTACGAGTTTTATTATTAAACAGTCCAGCGGAAGAAAACGCTCGCTCAGCCTCGACACTTGTCAGTTTCAATTTTACAAGACTTGAAGTATGTCTGGGATGACATACTTCAAGACTTGTAAATGTTTCCATTTAGTGTATGGAAGCGGAATCCTTTCTTTAAATAGTTGTATAGGTGACTCATCTTTTTTAATTTTGATTGGTCTTCTAGGCAAATCCGCAAAACTTCCATAAAAAGATAATTTGTATTGAATTTTTCCTGTGGGTAGGTATTGGAAACAGCGAACATCAACGAAACATGGGTCACCCTTCTTTCTTCCAGGACGAACTGAGTCGTAATAGCTTATATTAGAGAAACCCTTAAAAAAGTCATATTTTAAGTATGCAGCCTCATATGGGAAGGGGGTTTTCCAGGCCTCCTTGGTATATTTTACATACTCAAATGGTAGGTACACATCTTTTCCCTTGATTTGTTTTTCAATCCTCGTATGTACTGAATCTCCCTCCATTTGCGTATGCCCTTTCACTAGGTATTTCTGAGTTACTTTGATATTATTTTGGACGTCAAAGTGTAGAAGGGCATTTGATACAAATTGGTTACAATTTTGATTTGTGCAACCATCTGTGTACACTACAATGGGGCAGCAAAGAGATAGACAATGTTCCTTCAAATAATCAACCAAACAGGAGGCAAATGTGTTACCGATAAATCCCCCTTTACATCACCAGTAACATTTGCAATGTCTATTAGCTAAGTTATAAACTGCGTAATTATGTGAACATAGTTTCGTCTTATAATACATAGCACTTGCCTTCGTCATGGGGATTAACTTAACAGATTCCATATCTGCCGTCAAGTAATATATTTAACCATCAACTGCCTTTCTGTTTGTCACGTTTATTTTCAGCCCAAGCCCTATTTTTCTCAATAATATGCTGATCGTAGGCTTCCTTTGAAACATTTCCTGCTTTGAATGCGTAACAAGTATCACACTGATCTTTTTTGGGAACGAAGAGGGATAAATTCTTTTCTTAAAAAATTTGCATAAATATATTAAGGGATCCATACGGTCTATTTTGAGAAATGCAAAAGTCTTTGTATGATCTGTACAAATCAATTATTGTATTCCATAACGGTTCTAAATACATTTTCGACGTTGATGCTCTGCAATAATGAGATGGGACTTTTGATAAACTTTCAGACCATTCAGAAATGATTTTTTTCTTTTGTGCGATTTTTTCTCTCTACATCCTTATTTTTCAATGACATATTTTGGTAGAATAGCACCATCTTCTTATTCTGAATGCTGTGCTTCCTCGTCGTCTGGAGACACACCTGTACTTAATGCCCAATTTTGAACCATCCATTTTTTCATACCAAGGGTATTCAAGAACATCTGAACATCTTAGAAGGACTTAAGTAGTATTTGAATTAATCAGACCTATCGCTTATTTTGTTTATTACAGTTTTCTGCTGTACATCAATTTTCTTCACGTGGTTGCTGATGTAAACTTTTATACCTTTCGTAAACTTTTTTTTGTAAACAATTTTTCTATAGTAAACAACAAATATAGGTTAAGTGAAAACTTCAAAACTATTTATTATACTTCTAAGCTAGTAATCAATTAACTTAACTGCAATACAGTTAACAAATTAAACAATAATTACCTGAAATGAACCAGCTGGTTAATATTGTCACATGTTTTCAATGTAAACAATTCATGATACGTGGTGTTAGAATTCCGTTCTAACAACTAACAATATACAGGAAACAAATTTACCTAATTTAAACACTTTTCCCGGTATTATTTAAGATATGTGTGGATATATGTTCTTATTCACTACTTAACTCAAAATAGCCAAATTTTGAAATACGTAGTGTTGGAGCTTAGCCATCGAATTGCTTGTTAACTTATAAACAAACGTGAAATTATTTTTCATTACATCCACCAGTGGGAGTCAAATATTTCTGCCTCCAATTTGGCCGCCGCAGCTAGCTGGGAGGCAGAAGCCACTAAAACAAAAACATTTTGCCCGCTAAAAAAACTGCTGCGGAGAAACTAAAGAACTCACTCGTATCAGAGAAGCTTGGAATGAAATATTTATAGAAATTATCCAAAATCTTGTGACTAGTATGTCAAGTTGCATATTTGAAGTCATTAAAATTTAGAAAGCAATACTCAATATTAAATGAGCGTAAAAACAAAATATTTTTTGTATTTTCTTCTAACGCGATAATAATATATAATATTATTTTTACGTTAAAACGTTAAAAAGAATACTTTTAATTTTTTTTGTATTTGTAATTAATTAAACATATCAATTTATAAACTTTTTAGTTGAAGCAGAAGATAATAAGAAATAAAGTAGATTTAATAGTTGTTTCACTGCCATTTTTGTTAAACTAAAACGAAATATAAAGGTTAGGCTAATTCTATTTTCTCCGCTGTATATATATATATATATATATATATATATATATATATATATATATATATATATATATATATATATATATATATATATATATATATATATATATATATATATATATATATATATATATATATATATATATATATATATATATATATATATATATATATACATATATATATATATATATATATATATATATATATATATATATATATATATATATATATATATATATATATATATATATACATATATTTATTATACATATAAAAATATATAGAAGCGAAATGGAGGCCAAAAAGGGTCCCGGGCGCAAGGTTCCGAAAGAAAAAAAAAAAGATTACGATTGTATTAATAACTTTTAATAATATGTTTATAAATTGTCTGATCGGAATCAATATCTTGCAAACTCTTTAAAGAAATAATTTAAACCAACTTATTTTTTTCCAACGTAATTTAAACTCAAAGTGTAGTTAATAAAAAACAACTATGAAGGAGAATATTAATTAGTCCTTAGAGACAGGAGAATGTTTGGAGAGCGAATAAAATTAGGTTACCATTATTGCTTTGAAAGGTAATATGAAAAAAATAGATCTATAAATTTTTTATAATAACTTTAAATATAAACTTTAAACCTGTTGATATTAAACTGAAGAAAAAGACTTTATTTCGACATAAACTTTAATCATAATTAAATATTAAAGTTGTTACTTTTATACATATCTTCATAAAATGTCTGCTGATCAATTAGCTGCACAAGCAGCCGAGCAGTTGAGAATTCATGAAATCGCTGGTCGTCGATTAGATGCTGCTAAACATCAACAAGATGCTGCACTACAAGAAAAACTTGCATTGCGCTTAAAAAAAAAAGAGCAAAACGCTCAAATTTTAAAAGAAGATCTAGAAAAATCAGAACTACTAGCTTCAGGAAAAGTAAGTTGTAACTTTTATATAATATTAGAGACTTGTATATATATATATATATATATATATATATATATATATATATATATATATATATATATATATATATATATATATATATATATATATATGTATATATATATATATATATATATATATATATATATATATATATATATATATATATATATATATATATATATATATATATATATATATATATATATATATATATATATATATATATATTAGGTATGTGGATTAAAAGTTTTAAATTGATCAAAGGCTAGATTGTTATATATCATTGGCCTTTTTTTAAAATTTTTTTTACAAGGGCCTTTTTTTGAAATTTTCATCAAGTATAATTGGAGAAAGCTCACATATATGGGCCTTTTTGGAAAAATCCCGCATGTGCTTTTTGGAGCCAGTACCCCCTGATCACAAGAGTAAAATATTCAGTACTAAGTATTTGCAACTTGGTCATTATATACTTGATAGGACTTGATATACTAGTACTTTTCTTTCCATCCTAAAAATATCAAAGTAGAAAAAAATAAAGAAGTTCCCATGACTTTCAATGAAAATTTAAGAATTTCATGACTTTTTTCCATGACCAAATAAAATTCAATGACATTTTCATGATTTCCATGACCAGTGGCCACCCTGATATGATTTTTGTAATCATCAGCTGTACTTCCAGCTAATTGATCTAGAGCAATGACTTGGCATTTATTCTTTGATGTTAAGTGAATGCTATATGTACACCTTCTTAAGTTGTTGCATAAAATCCAAGAGTAATATGTGAATTAATGAACGCTCATTCTGATCCTTGTAGTTCTGCTATATTGCCAAGCTCATGAGCCATTTGTTCAATCATACAACAATGGGGAACATCATTAAAAGTGACACCCAAATACTGCATAATTTTCTTCATTAGAAATGGTTTGTTACATGTTGGTACATTTGCCAATAACATACCATAAATTATCACTTGGGTTTGTAATGAATAAATCTTATCCTTTACTGAGCCATTCACAACGGTAATGTTATCCTCCTCCATCTGGATTATATCATTTTCGTAACTAGCTATCAGCATTTTATTTGGCTTAATATCTTTATTATGCAATATCTTTATTATACAACTCTAACTTATTTTAGTTTTTAATGTTTTTAAACTTTCATTGCCTTTTTTTAAGGCTTTAAGATTATGAATTATCTTACTGTAATAATATGTTTGCAACTTTTGTTTAAGATCTCTAATTTCAGCTCTCAAAACTTTAATAATTTGTTTCTTTCATGTAATTCTCTGTCTCAGCACTTTCAACTTGTATGGCATGCTTTTCAATTTTGCCCTCACTATTGCTAATTTTTTTCAATGCATACTGGATGTAACAGCAAGCTGAGAAGTTAAATAAGACAATCTGGTATTCAAACTTTTTTTTTCTAGGGCTCATTTTTCTTTTTGATTTATGCCAATTCTGTAAATTGTTAATAGAATGTTTAGAAAATAAAAGCTTGTTATTTAGTTGTAATAAATTACTTATGTGCTCAAGTGATGAATTATCTAAACTACTTAAACAGTAGTAAGAGAACTACTTGGAATAGGACTCGATGATGAAAGACTGGGAAGATTGGTGCAATGCATACACAGGGTTCATTACAAAATTCTTTAAAATGATTACTATCCCTTGTAAAGTTGCAAAACCAATTTTTGCAACTTTTCAAAATGCTAAAGATTTGTGGTTAACAAGTATTTAAATTGAATAAGTCATTGACTAGTTGAATAGTTATAATAAATGACTTACCGCTGTTAATGAATAAAAAAAGGTACATGTCTATATTTACAACGACTGCAGGTAATAAGAAGTCTGTATCTAAATACTCTTTAACTGCACTACGAACAAAAAATAAGGTTGCTTTTCGTGCCCATTGCGGCCTAAAAAACTGTAAAGAATGTCTTGTATAACTACTGATTAATATTATAACATTAACTTATAAACAATATTGTACTTATATTATTGAAAATATTTTTAATAATACTGTATTATTCCATAATTAAAAAACACTATTTATACACATACAAAAATGCCAATGTATACTGACAACATAAAACATGTGTAGATATAAAAAAAATTCAAAATATACATTGCAAATGTTTACATAAAAAGGCAAAATTATTTTTAAAATACCATGCTTATCTATAGCTAGAATTATAGTAATCAACGCTTATGTTTTTAATTTCAATGAAACCAATAAAATTTTAGAAACTATTAACCAGCCACACTAAAATAAATGGTAATTTTAACTTTTAAAATATTTTAATATATATATATATATATATATATATATATATATATATATATATATATATATATATATATATATATATATATATATATATATATATATATATATATATATATATATATATATATATATATATAGAGAGAGAGAGAGAGAGAGAGAGAGAGACACACACACACACACACACACACATATATATGCACTTTAGCAATATACACACATATATGCACTTTGGCAAATCTCAGCTCTAATTTAAGCTTAATGCAGTTGATTTCTAATTGTATTTTTACATGCTGCATGAAAAAGGCTTAATAGAAAAAAGTAGCAATCCAATAATAAAAAAAAGAAATAGGTTAGAGTATGTAAGTAAACAACTTTAGAGAAACTATGTGAATGAACAACAACCTAAACAACAGCATAGAATACTGATGATAATAATAACTAAATACTAAAATAGTAAAGCATATATATATATATATATATATATATATATATATATATATATATATATATCTCCACTTCCTAAGTTTTATGTGAAGATATATATATCTTCACATAAAACTGGATGAATAAGAATTTTTAGAGCACTTCGGAACAGTCACAGTAAAAGGATGAGACTCAATAGAATGACAAGTAATATGGGAATGAATTTTATTATTTATTTATTATTATTTTATTTCTATTTGATGGTATAAGAGAAGCTTTTAGAGCAGTGCTCATTAATTTATTTATAGAGAAGACAAAGAGAATTATGCAACATTATGATGATGTGATAATGGTTGGAGGTTGGCTACAAGAGCAGGTCCATTTATGTTTAAAATGCGATTTTTTTCCCTGTCTAAGAGAGAAAAGGTATCATTGGAAGATCTGCCCCAGATATGGCAAGATATATCAGAAATACTGATTTATCCTGTCAAGAGTAATTTCAGCTAAGCAACAATTAAAAAGGCTATATCTACTAGTAATATAAATATAAGGTTATTTGCTAAAAAAAAATCTTCAACAAAAAAAGTTTTCATGGATAATAGATCAATTTATAGCATTTCATTTTACAGATTTCTATATTGAGTTTATCCTAAAAAAAAATTTTTTTGTTTTCCTATGGTTTCTATGATTTATATAATTTATCTTTTTTTCTGTTGTTTTTGATTTGTGAAATAATTCAATTTTTTTTAGAGAGAACCACCTACTGGAGTTGTTACATTTTGCTTTATGTGCATTAAGAATTTAGCAGATATTCTTGACCAAATGGAAGAGGAAACTGCTCTTAAGTATTTTGTATTTTATTTGCTTTTTGTGAACTAGTAGTAGTTAAAAAGTATATATATTCATATTTTAATACAATAAAATAGGTTAGGGCAATAAATTATTAATAAAAAATTAACATTGTAAATGTTAAGGTAGTGGGGGTCCATAATCGCCTTTTTTTTAGATTTTTTATAGTTTTACCAATTTTTCTTAATTAGCTTTTTATGCTGATTCTGAAAATCATAATCATTTTTTTTTAATTTTAATTATTTAGCCTTCTACTTAGGTTTTAATAAAAGTGAATATATTGACAAAAAAAGGCATTGTTAAAAATAGATGAAATTATTATTATCATTAAATATAAGAAAAGTAGAAAACTAGAAATCTTTTTCTGTTTAATTTATTAATAATATACCTTATCATTTATAAGTAACAAAAAAAATTAAGAATTTTATATGAAAATATTTCATACAGCTTGTTATTTACTATTGAAAATTGAAAATAACTATAAAAGTCATCATATGTGATAGAGATTGCTGCGTGAACTTTCCTTATAGAACATCTAGGTTATGAGCGTGTTCTTTGATAGACATAAAATGGAGGTTTGTATTTTTATATCAACAATCATGTATTTAAACAGAATAGACCTCCGCGACAATTACCTACATTGTATCCCTAAAATAAAGAACCTCATTTTTCGAACTTTTTTTTCATTTTAACATATCTTTATCTACTTCAATAATGTCTTGTTCACAGCTAAATGGGCTGCCTTGTAACTTTAATCAAGCTAAAACAGAACTGATCTTGCACACCTGATGTAAAGTTTGTTGCTCTTCCATTGTTATCCATTTGTTTTTGTAGCTGGTTTCAACTATTTTCCATATTTTCAACTTTTTGGACAAATAACTGGACAATAATTTTCCAAAATATTTTTAAACTACGTGAACCTTTATTTTTTATATGGTTTAAATAATTAAATATACATCTACTGTTGAAATTAAATGGGGTTTTTCCAAAGCTTTCCAACTGCAACAACTTAAATAGAAAGTTAATACTAATCATATTCCATCTTCAACCAAACACATAATACTTTTCTCTTTTTTGAAGTCCTGAGGCTAACTCTTGCCAAAACACTCTAGCAAGAATGATACAATCATTCAACCTCCTTGAGGTATACTTATTAACTGCTTCTAGAATTTTTTTTAATTAGCTATTCACTGCGTTTTAGAGTAAAGCAGAAAATTTCAAAATTTGATCACCCAGTTTGTTTTTTATAAAGCCTTTTAGGTGTTCCTTTATACTAACTGTTCATCTTTAGAATTGTTAAAACTTTAGAATTTAACTAAACTTTTACTGACTGGCACTTTAAAAGAAGATTTATTCTTGACTTCATAAAGAAAAGTGAAAAAAAAAAAATCAAATCTTGAATAGCCTCCTTGATAGCTTGAATAACGATTAAAAATAAATAAAAAAAAGGAAAATAAGATACTTTGAAGCAATCTGTCTTTTTGATTACTTAAAAGACAGATTGCTTTGTTTAGAAAGAGACTTCAGATAAAACTTTTTTTTTGAAGCAATCTGTTGTTTTACTTATTTAAAACGTTTTTTTTAGAAAAAGACTTCAGATTAAACTTTTTTTTTCTAAAACGCAACAATTAAAAATCAAGTTTATCCAATCAAAATTTGAATAGCATAAATTTGAAAGAAAAGTTGCGTAACTTTATACGCAAAGAAACTCTTGGAAAGACTTTTTTTTTTTTTATATCTTTTTAATTTTTAAAATAGAAGCAGAAGGTCAACCATAAAAAATTAGCAAAAACTGAATTGTTTTTTAAACTTTTCTCAAAAAATTAATTAAGAATAACTGGTTAAACAAGAAATATAGAATTTTGGACCCCCCTAGTTAAGGCTGCCTGTCAGCTATATTCATATTAATCAAGCTACCCTCTATTAATTGCATTATTTAAGTCATTAAATTTCAAGTTGTTAAACAATGTAAAATCAACAAAAAACAATTAGATTAGCCTTAATAAAAGAATTGATTATTAATCTCCAATTAACTTCATTTTTCTAAACAGTGATAAATCAATGCTCTCTAATATTATATCAGTTCACTCTGAACTGATATAATTTTAGAAAAATTAGGTTTCTAAGACAAATGGTTACAGAGTTATTTATAATACTGCAAGTGGTTTTGCAAACCATAACTTTAAGGTTTTATACTGTTTCCATATATAAGTTTTAGGTTAAATTTAAAAAAATTTGTTTTTTTTTCACAGATTTATGTGCGGCCATGGCGCAGTGGTTAGAGCGCTTGCTTTTTAAGCAGTAGATTCAGGTTCCTGATAATTATTATTATTTTCATGTCCCTGTAAGGAAGTAGGTGCTCTGTGACAAGACCGTTAGGTCTTCTTGGGGCACCTAAAAATAATAACAAAAAAATAATAATAATTATCAGGCAGGCATAATATGATAACGGTAGCAAATTTTATTCTACTATACCTTAGTTATCTTTGGTGCTACAAGGGGCTTTAAAAGACCTAATAGAAGCAAATTTATAATTATAATGATAATGATTTACTTTTTTAAGTATAAATATATATCTAATATTTTGAATGTATTATTAAAGCTTCTAATGTGTTTTAGTTGGTAAAAGCATATTAAAAGTCTTCACTTACAACAAGGCTGCAAGCAACCATTATTAGAGTTGGAAGTTACTGGAAGACAAAAGATAAAGTTTATAAAGCAAGATAACAATTAACAAATTGCTCAAAAGATTACAAATTATATGTATCAGGAAAACAAGAAAAAACACGCAAATTCCAAAGAAAAAACTAGATAAATAAGAAATTTTGGAGCACTTAAAAACAGTAAAAGGATGAGACTTGATTAAAAGACGAGTAACACAAAAATTAATTTTAGTAGATGGCACAAGATGCTTGCTCTTTCGAGCAGTGCCCATTATAGTATTTATAGTAAAAATTTATATTATAATTTATATTCTGCACCTTTTCTAAAAGAGAAAATGCATCATTTAAAGATCCCATTCAGATATGGCAACAGTATTCTGTACAAGGACTGATTCGAGGTTTATGAGATAAAGAATAGAATCCGGAGTAAGAAAGTGGCAAGCACGATAAAGAGATGCAACCTTAGCAGATGGTAATTTTGCAATGGATTTTATATATTGTTTCCAAGCAAGATCATAAGTAGGAGTTAATCCTAGAAAACGAAGGGTAGGTGACTCATCAAGTACATTATCATTCATAAATATAAGAATATCTAGATTCTTGTGATAATGATTAGCCAACAAAAATCTGAATTAAAGTTCACCAGCCACTGAGAGCTCCATGCTGTAGCAGAAATGTTCGCCATCAAGGTAAGATTAGAGCTTATGGAGAAGACCTGCGTGCCAAATTTTATCAAAGACTTTAAACATATTGAGAATGATAGTTTTAACCTCTCCACATCTATCCAATGCACTATAAAACCTGTTAGTTATTACTGTTAACAAATTAGCAGTAGAATGAGTAGATCTAAATATTGATATTGATATAATATGTATATATATATTGATATATACATATTGATGATCAGAAAGTTATTAGATTCAAGATGAGAAATTAAGCATTTGTTAATTAAAAACTCAAAACCCTTGCTTATGATAGGAAGAAGACAAATGGAATGGTAGTTAGATGAGTCAGATCACTCTCCAGAATTTTTGAAAATAGGAATATCAGATGCTACTTTCCAGCAGACTGGAAAACAAGACTCTAATAAGTACTTGATAAATAGTTTTAAATGTATAGACAACAGCTCGGGAGAACACTTCTGCAAGACTACAACAGGTATGTTGTCTGGATCACAAGCTGTAGAAGAGTCTAAGCAGGAAATCATTTAAGAAACAGAAGCTGGATTGATACCAATGTCAAGCAATGGATCAACTTGTTTGTAGGCTATATCAGGTAGAATGTGATTAGTGGAATCAAGAGATGAGATTGATGAAAAGATTTTAACAAACTTTTCACCTATCTCATCTCTTGATTCATCTAGCAAGAATGATACTTGACTTGGAGTCGTCAAGAGTGAATAAAATATTCCATACCAGCCTGAATCCATGAAGTTATGTGAGAAGTGTATTTGTCAGCAGGAAGAAGAAAGATTTCTACCCAAGGGCCATCGCAAAGAAAATTACGAAAAGAGTCCCAGTCAGCATTATGCTAGTTGTAAGAGTTACAATGATATAGAGATTCTGATGATGAAGAATGAGATAATAGTTTTAGTGAGATCAAACCATGATCAGAAGCACCTAAGGGTGAGTGTGGAGAAACTGAGCACTGACTAAGATCAGAAACAAAATATAAGTTGTGTTTAGAAGGTAAATGGTTGGGATTATCTAAAAAGCCATTTGAAAAGTTCACTGTTTGCATTGGAGCTTTGAGAAAAGGCAAAAGTTGTGGGGCTTAACACCTGCAGATTCACTGACATCAGAACTAAGCCATTTAGTGTGATGAGCATTAAAGTCACTAATATCAATTATGCTTATTTTTGGAACGTTGCTTTTTTAAATAGCTTGAAAAGAAAAGAAATAGGCCGATAACTGAAGTAGTCTAAAAGAGAATTTTGTGTATAGGAATTACTTTGGCTAACTTAAAAGCTTCTGGAAAAATACCATTTTTGAAAGAATTATTCATCATTGTACATAGAGATTTGGATATGTGTGATACCAGCTTAAGAAGAAATGTTGGTCGACTATTGGGACCAAGGCTTTGATATTTTTTAGAGTACTTTTTATGAGATTTGACACCTCTTCTTCAGTCACGGGATCAATGAAAAAATAATTAGTATTTGGCATTTTAAGAAAGTTGCTAAGACCATATTTAGAAGGAGCAATATTTTCAGATTCTTTTATCTTAAATAGTTGCAAAATAGTTGTTTAATATATTAGCAACACTTGTATGATCTGAAATAATATTTTCATTGATTTTGAGACTAAAAGACTTAATATTAATAGGTTTGATGTTAATGATTTCTTTAATTCCCTTTCAAGTATTCTTTACATTATTGATGTTGTTATTAAAAAAAGATGCATAGTATAATTTTTCAGAACATCTTAACAAATTGCTAATTTTATTTCTGTATAATATAAACTTAGTAAATAATAGATTTATGGTATTCATATTATTTGATTTAGTAAATTTTTTATAAATTATGTTTTTATAAGAAATATATTTAAAAATATCAGAAGTTATCCAGGGTTTAGATTAAAGTTTGATTTGTTTTTTTGTTAATTCTTTGTAGAGAGCATATCCTTCTATACTTTTTCTAATGTTTTAAGAAAAAAATTTATAGATTCATTTATGTTATCATCTTTTATGAACAGCTCCCATTTAATATCGGAAATAATGCATCATGCTCTGAATCTCTAATTAAAATTAGAAATGTTCAAAATTTAGAGAATTATATTAAATAAAATAGTTATCAAATATTATCCTGTTTATAGTTTATATCATATAATTAAAATTATTAATTATAACTTATTTTTTAGTAATCAAGACTTTATTTTTCATCCACAATGTATAGTGCCTTAGGCAACTGCCTCGTTTGCATTAATGCTAGTGCTGGCCCTGCATTGATGCAAAGGATACATTAGAAGAACTTTAGGAGTTTAACCCATCAGTATCAACAATTTGTTGATGTAGGTAAGCCACACAAACAGATAAAGATTTTTTTATGTCATTTATCCACGCTTTCATGATGAGAGCCTGAGAGTCTGATACTGAATTTTAACGCTCCACCACAGCTGCATCTGTATAATTATGTGATTATATTAGCATTAAGGGTATTATTTTCATATAAGGCTTTAACTTTTTAACATATAAGTTTTTAAGAAAAAAAATATTTACTCACAATGACTGTAATAGTAGAGGATTAGATTGAACTAATTGCTAGAAAGTTCTAGAGTCATTAGATAAGATTTAACTGTAGCGTCACTGGAGTACCATGGATATATATTGATGGGCTGGAAAAATTGAACGCAGATACAGGTTATTACATATTACACTAATAATATGCATTAAAATCTTAATAAGATTTTAAAATCTTAATAACATTTTGTTTGTATTAACTGAAAGCTGTTTTGCAATGTCACTAGATTGATAGATCAAATGTTATTCAACATTATGTTAACATTAATATTGACTAAATTAAACTTTTCACTGACTTGATGGACTAACTGAAAGTTATGTTGAAGAAAACACAAACATCAACATATCGCTGAAAGTACAATATCATTAAATCTAAAGAGATTTAATAAATTAAGTGAAGTTGATTGAATGAATTTTAAGCCATCTGTAGTAAGTATTAAAGCTATCTGTAGTAAAGACAGTGATGTTAAAGTGAGTTAAAAAAATTAAAAAAAAAGAGCAATACATGGACTACTCACTTTTTTTCATCAGATTGAGCAATCTTTACAGCTAATAATGTTTTTAAAAAAACATTAAAAAAAAAGTACATAAACAACATTCGTTAAAAAGTTAATTGTAAATTTTATAAACTTTTTAAAAAATCAAGTAGAACAGTAGGTTAAAATTTTCATGTTTTTTTTTTTAACTAAAGCAATAAATAAGATTTAATAAGTGATGAATAAGATTCTTTATAGAAGACCTTTTGATTATTGACTCTGTAAAACACCTCTCTATACAATATCTAATATATTTTGTAATTATTTTTTTTGTTTAATAACTTTTAAAATTTAATAGCTTTTAAATTTAACTGAAATTTCACAATTGTTATTGAGTTTAACTGAAAGCAAAACTTATATTTCAAGTCCAGATCCAAAATTAAATTTAAAGTCAACTTTGCCTTTCAGAAAATTTTGTAATTCAAACTTTAACAAATATTTGTTGGTCCTTAATCTATAGCACCAAAGACAACCAAGTTATGGTCTAACTTTAACTTTTCAGCTTTGGTTATCCTATTATGATTATCAAATATTTCTGTGAAAACAAATCCAAGGTAATCTCATTTTTAATTCAGACCCTCTATTTTGTGTTCATACCTGGAACTAAACCCCCTATTTTGTTTCCATACCTGGAACTAAACCAGTTCTTTTTAATCTAAGAATTAAAAACACTTTTAAAATAAAATAATAATTCAATATTGTGTTTTAGATTTCTTGAGGTATTTCATGACATAATAATAAATGAAACCAAGTTTTACAATATATATGTGGCAAAAGAAGAGGTAAGTTTTGAAACTATTTTTATTTTTATTTTTTGTTTTTTGTTGTTGTCCAGAGATTTATGTTTTATTAGAACTTGAAGAATGTACACTGATTGGTTTCAGTTTTGTTATTTTTTTTTTGTTTGTTACATAATTTGTTTTGTTAGTTACATGATATTTTTTGTTTGTTAGTTACATGATTTGTTTTGTTAGTTACATGATTTTTTTTTAGCTACATGATTTGTTTTGAAAAGCAAGATTTCAATAATATGTAAAAACTTGACTTTTTATAAAAATAATAATTAGGTAACAACTTATAGTTGTTACCAAAATAATTGTTTTCATAGCAAATATTAACTATACTAACTAAAAACCACTATATAACTCTTTATACTAACTACAGATATTAGTTTAAAGAATTATTGCTTAGTTAAAAAATGATATCCTTCAACAATATGATTGATTGCTCATCATGCTTAGGTGACTTAGTGATGGAGTTTTAATCACAGTAAAGTAAACTAGTAAAAACATAGACAACACTTTTAATATCAGGTGTCAATCAGAACTAGTGGTTATCCAACCACCATAAAAGTAGGAGTGTTTAATTCTTTTTATACAAGTTAAAAATACAATAGACTTAATTTAAATGTTCCACTGCACCATATTAGTAACAATAAAGATTTTTCAGCGATTTGGCACAGCGACATTGTTGATATTGAGCATGCTGTTTGCAGCTGTTTTCTTACTTCGTCAGGTAATCCAAGAATAAATGCGCACCTTATCCACTCTTTGCTTACGTGAGATGATATTAGCTTGCTCAGTCTTGTTAATTCTGCAAGATATACATCAACGGACTCATTCTCTTTAAGACAGCGATTTACGAACTCTTCGTATGCTGTTAGCGGAGAAACAGAGAAGGCAGTAGTCAGTGCAGTTTTCACTTCATTGTAGTCTTCTTTTATCTCATCACTTAGGCCTTGATAAACGGCAAACACCCCGCCAGAAAGAAATAAGGGGAGCACCACATGCAGCTCCTCAACTTTTTGAAGTTTTGCTACCAGTTCCAATTTCTGTATCCATTCTGAAAAATCACCCGAACCATCGTATTGTGATACCAGGTTGGCAAACTTTATAATGATACTCATTGCTGAAATAGCTTGTATAACTTGGTATAACGTGGCTCTCAGAAAAAATGGTGACGAAACATTGCTCCCCTACGTAGCTATATTTTCCTATGAGTGGAAACCACACAAAAATGGGGAGTGTCCATCCTGTTTCGTTGCGCTTACAGGCCATCTGGAAATAGAATTGTTGAACGTCATTATTGCACAATCAAGCGCATGGC